CTTAGTGCCTGGCACAGAAAAATTGCTAAAAACAACAACAGAAAAACAGGAGTACTTATCTTAATTTCATTCTTCTGTACCTCTGCAGGCGCTGAGCCAGAGACATGCACAAGGTTAAAGGAAGTATTTGTGGAATGGAATGAACAGATGTCATGTGAGCATATTTAGCCTCACTAACCAGCACCCAGGAGGACCAGAACCAGTCATCTCAGAATCCAGGGGCAGAAGGAAAAAGGGATCTGTCATCAGCTGAAACCTCACTAAGATGGGGGTCCAGTGCCCTCCCTAGAGTGAAGGCATGTTATATGATTTAGTCTCACTCCAACCTGATGGGAAGATATTTTTATATCTCTCTGATAATAAGACCTACTGTTTGTTGACCATGTACTTACTGTGTGCAAGTCACTTAACAAATGTGATTTCATTTAAACCCTCACACTATCTCAGTGAGATTGGAAATATTATTACTGAGGATGAAACTGGGTCAGAAAGTTTAAGTAAACTGCCCAAGGGCTGATGGGTAGTCAGCAAAGAGGATGAGCCAGCGTTTAAAAAAAAAAAAACAACTTGGAAACTTCCGAGACACCAGCTGATTTATTGACATTCTCACAGAAAACAGAGCTCTGCATTCAGTTGGTGCTTAATGGGAACTGTATTGCAATCACGTGGTGATCTTGGACTTTCTAACAGATGCTTCAAAGGGAGCAGTTTCAATTTCCATGCCCACCTCGATCACGAGGGAGGTTGTTCCCCACCCCCTGCTCTGCTGTCACGATGTTCTTGTTTTTCCCCAGGTCCTATGACTCAGCACACAGCTCCAGATGGCTTCCTGCAATTTCTAGTCTTGTTGGCTGAGGTGCCGAAGCCCTGGTACAGTAAAGTAAAACCGAAAACATGTTGCAACTAAGAGTGGGAAACCTCCTCCTCTGCCTGCTCATCCGCAGACCACAAGGTGCACTCCTCACGGTGGCCGGTCCCTCTGCAGCCTCCCCTTGCAGGGTCCTCGCACTCCACTCCAGTACATCCTTGAAAATGCTACCCAGGGGTGAATTTGGGGTCCAGTAAAGGGAAAGAGCCCAGGGCTGTCACTCCCATGGTCTACTGACCTTAGGCAATTTACTTTTGAGGCTCCGTTTTCAGATGGGGACACTGGTATTGCCTACCTCTGAAGACGGGAGAGTTAGGGTTGCTAGATAAAATACAGACTGTCCCCCATGCTATAGACTGAATGCTTATGTCTCACCAAAACTCATGTGTTAAATCCTAACACCCAATGTGATGGTATTAGAAGGTGGAGCCTTTGGTAGGTGCCTTGGCCATGAGAGCAGAGTTCTCATGAATGCAATTAATGTCCTGAGAAAAGGGACCCCAGAGAGCTTCCTCACCCCTTCCACCCTGCGAGAACACAGCAGAAAGGCAGCCATCTGTGGATGAGGACAAGGGTTCTCATGCTAAATCTGCCCGCATGTTCATCTCAGACTTCCTCAGAACGATGAGAGATAGAATTTTGTTTTTAAGCCACCTAGTTACCGTATTTTGTTAGAGCAACCTGAATGCATTAAGACATCCAGTTTACATTTGAATTTCGGATACACAGTGATTTTTGTAAGTATAAATATATCCCAAATATTACATTCAAATTTAACTGGGTGTCCTGGAACTTCATTTGCCAAATTTAGCAACTCTCTTTTGTGGAGTATGGAGTGACATAACAAATGTGAAAGTGCTTTGTCACCTATCAAGAGCTGTACACTTAATATATCTTTATCATGAGATATATGCATACTTGGCCATGGACCACCAGCTTGGGCTGGAGCTTGGAATGGGTAGCTTTAAGGCCAGGTGATGGGAAATGTGTACCGTCTCAGCCTGTGAGTTGAGACACCTGGGCTTTGTTTGTCAACTGGCTGGTGTTTGGACATTTCGCCATCTTTAATTCTGCCAAATGCTGGAATGAGACATGTACTCAGAAGGTTGCGTATTGCTGATGGACTGGCACATATCTGTCTGGACCGAGTCTCTAAGATGATGTGGTTAGTGAAGAAGAAAGCATGACTTATACATGAATTATGTAGTGAAGGGTGTGTTCGGCACCAAGATGTTCACGAGCGCAGCTTAACATAGAAAAATACAAGGGAACCCCTGGCAGCCTGCATATGGAGGACTTGTTTATTTGGGCTTCGGGTGTCTCTTCCTGCCAGAATTCTGTGAGGAGAGGGACTTCTTCCGTGCGGCTGGTTCCCTAGTCCTTAAAACAGTGCCTGGCACAGGGAGGGTGGAATATTTGATGACCTGAAACCAGTTTAACTAGTAGCTATGTTAAAGAAAAATGGGTGCATTCATAGTCTGTTGTAAGGGAACTTTCCTGAAGCCAGTCAACTTCATTTCCTTGCTAAGAAGATGATAGTCATAGCACCAAGTTTTTTTTTTTTTATTGAAGGGTAGTTGACACACAGTATTACATTAGTTTCAGGTATACAACACAGTGATTTAACATTTATATACATGATAATTCTAGCTACCAGCTATCACCATACAAAGTTGTTACAATATTTTGACTATATTCCTTATGCTATACATTACATCCCGGTTACTTATTTATTTTACAATTGGAAGTCTGTACTTTTTTGTTTTGTTTTGTTTTGTTTTTTGAGAGGGCATCTCTCATATTTATTGATCAAATGGTTGTTAACAACAATAAAATTCTGTATAGGGGAGTCAATGCTCAATGCGCAATCATTAATCCACCCCAAGCCTAATTTTCATTAGTCTCCAATCTTCTGAAGCATAATTAACAAGTCATAGCACCAAGTTTTTAGAGGAACTTTTACTGCCTCTCTACCGAACTTCCCCCATTTAGTGACTAGCTCAAGTGTCCAGTAACTAGGGCCCAAGGGCTGGATTGCTTAGTCTGTATTTCCCCAAACTCCCGAAAGATCTGCTGTATGGTTTTGTTTTTTTAATGAATTTTCATTGGCTAACAAGACATTAATGAATGTCCAGTACCCACTGAGTGCTTGGCTTCTGTGATTGCCTGGCTCCACTAATAAAGAAAGGGCAGACTGACTGCAGGAAATTCTTAGTGTCCAGAAGGCCCAAAGGGACATCTTGGGATCTGCCTCTTAGAAGCAGCTCTTGAATGGTGGAACCTGACATGGTTGGTGATTTGGGAGCGACTCCCCAGTTCTTGCAGCTGCATTTGGGTCCCCTTACCTCAGGGTAGTCCTTCATACAGATCTGCATTAACTGTAACTATTTCAACATTCTCCCCCACAGTTGTCAAAGCTGTCCTCTCTTCTCCATTCCTGTCACCTGCCCTAATCCAGCTTCCCCATCCCTCCCTCAGCTATTGCTTCCAGACTTTTCCTCCTCAAACCCATCTTTCCTACTACCCCAGAGAGATGGGTGATCCTTTAGTAAGCCAAGTGCCAGTTGCAGTCAGCTTGTCCCACATCTCCCATTCTGTGACATTTTAGAAGCCCGATGCTCTTCCTAAAATATTTCTAAGTTTCTTAGTGGGAGAAGGCAGGAGAGGTGATTATACTCTCATGGCTATTTTTTGCTGTGAATACCTGCTTCCACAGAATTACTCACTCTATAGGAACTGAATACCTTGCACACACACACACACCGGTGCCATCTAATCATACATCACATCAACCCAGTTATGGCTTTGACCCTTTTCCCTATTTCCCACCCCAGAAAATTCAAATCAGTCATCTTTGTGAACATCAGACTTTTCTGAATTTTTCTGGATGTAGAAATTTACATGTCAGTAAGGCATCAGCTGAAGTGATTTTCATTATGCATTTTTAAATAAACATGAAATGCATGAACTCATTCTCTTCATTAAAAAAAGAAAGTTAAAGCATCTGAGATAATGTAAGGAAGTGGCACGGGAAGATGGTGGAACATGATTCTTGACATTACCACTGAGTGACCATCCAGCCCTGGACTGCTTACCTCTTAGACTTCCTGTTGCGAGATATAAATAAACTCCTATATGTTAGGCTATTGTGAGTCAGGTGTTCTGGTGCATGCAGCTGAATACAGTCCAATGTGACACACTCCCCATCTAGCACTGAGCCTCCCACTTAAGATCACTTTCTAACACCTTATCCATCTTCATTTCTATACTTCGTGTTTCATCACTAGCTGAAAAGATGTTATTCTTAATTGTTCACATGTTTGCTGTTTTCCAATGAGAATGTAGGTCTCCCCACATGGGGAAGAAGTTAATCTTGTCCCAGGATATCTCTAGGTCTAACACAATACTTGGCACATAGTAAGTGCTCAATAAATACCTGTCAAATAAATGAATGAATACAAATTTGATTGTGTTCCTCCCTGTTTAGAGGATAAAATCCAAACTACTCAGATCTAGCAATCAAGGCCATTTCTACCCTGGATTTTGTTGCCCCACCCAACTTGTCTCAAACCACACTGTGCTGCTGCTCATTCTGCACCCTCTGTTAGCCTTGCACAGGCTGCTCATTCGTGTACACACATCTATTGAGCACTTACTCTGTATCAGGGAATCTTGTATAGGTATAGGAGATAAATCAACAGACACAGATGGTGTCTCTGCCCCATGGAGCTCAGCAGAAAAGACAGACATTGGCCAAGTAGCTAAGGTATGGTCAGTCTTAATAGAAGGAGGATGTGGGGAACTATGAGAGTTCCTCAGTCTTTAGGTGACAAACTGCTATTCATCCTTTAAGGCCCAGCTCCAATGTCACATCCTCTAGGAAGCTTCCTTCAGGCCTCTGAGCTGGGGCAGGTGCTCCTACTGCTCCCACAGACTCTTACTACACAGACCGAGCCACAGAACTCAGTCCACTCTGTTGTCTTTGCCATCTCCTGTGTGTCTCTCCCGCCAGCCTGTGTGCCTGTAGAGACAGGAGTCCTGTCTTATTAATGTCTGTATCCCCAAGGTCCAGTGTAGGGCTTGGCATGGAAGTTCTTACTGAGTTTAGCGACCTACCTGTGTCTTTCTTGGAAGTGGCCCTCCTCCCCAGCCTCTCTTCCCTTGCTCAAGTCTCAGGCTGGCTTGATCTCTCCATTCCACACTCAGCTCCCTAGGCATTTCTTCATCTGGTTCTGAATGAACCTTTTTTCTCCTGAGGGAAACTGTGGAGAGGGGAAGAACCAACTTTCTCTTGGGTTGTCTAAGCAAAGCTTAGAGAAAGGCCAGAAAAAGTCATCCAAACACTAGAAGTTGATTTTCTGCTTTTATTTTCCTTTATTCCTTAGGCTAACCCCCTCCCACCCTTCCTTGTCTTGCATTGTCTCCCAACTACACTCTCTTCCAAGAACGCAGCAGATTTCTCATGCTTCTGTACCTCTGCACATGCTGTTCCCCTCTGCTAGAAATGCTTTTCCCCTACCATCCTTCCTGAAAAAAAGCTGCCATACTCTTTGAAGCCCACCTCTCATTTCCTACTCAATACTGTTTCTTCCATGTCCCCTCCCCCACCCCAAGCAAAATGAACCGTTTCTGTTGTGCTCTGTGCTTCCTTGGCTGTGGCTTCATCCCATGACATCCCATGACAGTTCATCCATGGTCCTCTTACTCTCAGATAGTGAGCTCCTCACCATCTGGGTCAGCAACAAGTCCGTGCCCAATCACTCTTTGTCCTTCCATTTGCTCAGCCTTGGGTTTGGCACACTGTAAAATCAAATAAATGATTGTTGCTGTGGGTGGCTGAGGTCTTGGGCAAGGGATGAGAAGGAGGGGCCACGCCTCTGACAACACCACCTTGATTTATCTCTGGAGATCTCCCCCTTTCCATCCACCTGGTTTAGGTGGAAATAAGACCCAGGGCAAAGCATGTGACCCAAGGCAACCCAATCAGATAACTTGTCTCCTGGCCTCAGTGATTGGGCAGTGATGGTCACATGACCTAAGTCTAGCCAATGAGTAAACGGCAGCAAAATAAGGATGAATATGGAATAGGAGAAAGGAAAATGAAGGCAGAAGAAAAATGGTGGGTCAAAAGTACAGTTAGTGCTCCTAAAAAGTGTCCATCAAGTCTAGATCTGACAGAATCTGGCTACACTCATGGCTCTGTGCTTCTGAAGGAGCAAAGTGTTCCCACCTAAAAGTCTGCTATTTTGGGGAGAGAAATAAGAGCCACCTTGAGTTAAATGAAGCAGGATGAGGCTGAGGTCAAAGAGCATGTGCTTTGTAGCCAGACCATCTGAGTTCAAATCTCAGCCCCACTGCTTACTGTGTACAAGTCCCTTATCTCTCTGACCCTTGGTCTCTTTGTTAGTTATGACGTGAAAATAATTTGCAGGGTCACTGTAATAAATATGAAGTGCACACAAGTAGCAATTATTCAACTTCCACAGTTACTCTGTTGTAATTATCAGTTGGTGGTCTGGTACAATAATCCAGAGTAAAGATGTCAAGACCAATGATGAGGCTTAAACTAGGGCATAGAGAGTGAGACTAGAGCAGAAGATAGAATAAATATGATTAACCAGGTGGTGTTAGTCAGAAATCTTTTGTTTACAAGTGACAAAAACCCAAATTTAAAATGTGCTTAAGCAAAGAGGAAAGTATTAGTCTACATAGCTGGAAAGTAAGAGGTACATTTTGAGTTTTGTAGGTGGCTTGAAGGTTGGGTCTTCTCCTTGCACCCTCTCTTACTCCTGCTTTCCTCTGGGGTGGTCTTATTCTCAGGTGGCTGCCAGGCATGTGGAGGCCCCAGTTACTCCAGGCTGACATATTTGCATAGCTAAGCAATCCCTGTAGAAAAGAGAAGGTCTCTTTTCCAACATTTCTGGCGAAATTCTTGGAACTGAATCTCATTTGCTATGCTTCCATCATGTTCTCATCCTGGAGAGAGAGAATGTTCTGATTGGATAGGCTCAGGACAGATGACCGTCTTTGGTGTTTCGGGATGGGGAGAGAGTCCAGTGTCCCCTGGGTTGAGAGTGGGGAAGACAATCTCCAAGGACAACTGGAGAGCTGTCACCCAAAGAAAGGGGGGTATGTTAGAAAAAAAGCAAAAATAACATCTGTGCCCTACAGAAGGGGATTAGGAAGGCCCAAAGAAGAACTGGATGTCGGAGGCCAGAGACTCAACAGCATCTGTACTGAATTGGCAATTCTGAGTTTGTGGCCCCTGATTTTGGTCGCCAGCAGGCCTCAGGAGTTGACTCAGCAGTGAGGCTGTCACATATGGGGTTTTGCAATTGACTTTTGCCCTCCTCCCTACCCTGCATTGGTGTACTCCTGAGGCTGCACTCAGCTACTGCTGGAAATGCCCCCAGCCTGGGCTTCTGCCAGTCCTGGGAGAGGGAGGGTCCCTGCTGTCCTCACCCAAACTCCCCAGGGCAAAGTCCGGCCATTGTTGAGAGAAAGGCCAGAGGCCACCTTGCACTCCGCTGGGCATCCCATAGCTGTGCTGCTGTGACTCCCTGGCCCCAGCCAAGCAGAGCAAAGACCAGGCCTGCTTTGCAGATGCCTCAGCCCCCAGACACGTGTGTGGCCAAGTGCCGCTCAGCCTCCCCAGTGATAAAATGAGAATAATAAGAGCGGGTCCTGGTCAGTCCTCCTCAGTAAGTAAATAGCAAATAAGGTCATGCTGAGAACATACCCTTTGAGGGGGACTCTGCCCTCAGCCCACCTTTCCTGAGCACCTTCTGGGTTCCAGTCCTGAGATGTGCACTGGGACAGAGAAAAGAATAATATCCAGTCCCTGTCCCCAAATTACTATAGGGGACAAACAGTAGGATTCAGCCTATGGTGTTTGGAGTCTTTTATAGAAGGAGGCATAGAGGACTAGGGAGTAGAGAACACATCCTAGAGGCAACTGGGAGAGGCCAGAGGAACTGGAGCTGAGCTGGCTCCAGAAGGAGAAAAAGCTGGCGGGCCGGGTAAAGAAAGAGGGGAAAGGGCATTCTGGGGGAGCTGCATGTGCAAAGAAAAAGAGGCAGCTTAGGAAGCTGTAAGTGGGGCCCAGGGAGCCAGGAGAGGACATGGGGAGAGATGAGGTGAGTGGCTGAGGGGAGCAGTGTTCAGAGTCCTAAATGGGTGAGTGTTCAGGGCAGACGGAGACTTCTGGTTCAGGTCATTTCATCAGACGCAATTAAACAGAAGCTCTGGCGGGGGCGGGGAGGTCTCCCTTTTGCAGAAAGTCAACTTAATGAAGATGTGGGGCTCCCTGGGAAAGATACAGGGAAGGCTGACTTCCCAGGAAACCTCATCCCAGCCTCATATCCGCTGGCACATCCCGGTGCCAGTTTCTACTTTCTGGGTGCTTCCCTCACCGCCCCTAAATCAAGCTTCCCCCTGAGAAGTCACGGCACAGTGGACGCTTGGATCCTAGCAGTAGCCACAGCACCTGCCCACCCCCGCCAGCAGGGGAAAGCAGCCCCCGGATGCCCAGTCAGGACAGCCCATGGCTGCTGAAGGGGCCTTTCTGGAGGGGAAGAAACATCTCTCCCTGTCCCCTTCTTTTGTTATTTCAAAATTGCCATTCATTTGGGAGTGGCCAGAGCCCCTGGGTCATCTGTCCCGGCTGTGGGACCTTGGCCAAAGCTTTGCGAGCTTGAGTTTCCGCAGCTGAAAAAGGGATGCGAAGATGGCCCTAGACCCACCAAGCAAAGCGCCTGCGCGAGGCGGCAGCCACCCTCCCTCGGTGCGGAGCCCCGTGGCTCGCCCCTGCCCCACCGGCCGGTGCTGCAGGCCGCCTTCTGCGGCAGAGCACGCCCCTGACAACAGGCTCGCCCCAGATGGGGTCACAAACCATAGTCTAAATAGTTCAGAAGTTATAAATCCAGCAGACAAACTGTTAAATAAAGTGTATTTTATCACTTAAAGTGACAAACAGAACTTCCTAATAACGTGGAATTAGGCCCAACTGCAGAGTTTCACACCGGGAACTGCCAGCTGCTCTCCCTAGTCCCCACATCTTCCTACACTGGAAGGGGCCCCCACGCAGGCAGCCCTCACATCCCCCCACCTCCAGCAAGCAGCACCCACTGGCTGTGGGGCCCACCCGAGGGAGAGTGGGACAGGGGAGAGGGTCTGTGGAGGCCTGGGAATTTAACAGGGGATCCCAGGGTTCTGGGAACCTGGAGCGTCACCTGAGGGGAGGTTCAGGGCTCCAACTGGACACATCCTCTTATTCCCCAAGATTCCTCACTTGTGGGCAGTGGGAGGGCCAGAGTGAGGTTCTCTGAAGTGCAGAGCCCAGGGCTGGAGGCCCTCTTGCTCTGGTCAGATGGGGCTGGACACGGAGACAGGAAAAACTCCAGCGTCTTGGTTTTGTTGTTTCCTAGTGAGGTCTTGAGTCAGTCCCAGCACCTCTCTGGGCCTCAGACTCCCCAGTCTGTTTGGTCTCTGAGCTTTCTTCTGGCTCTGGCCTGGGGTCCTGGGGCTCACCCTGCCCTCCTTCAGGCAGTAGGTATTTGTCCTCAGCTTCTCTAGGCCTTCCTGCCTGGTGCCAACACCTCCAGGGCCGCAGTTATCCTATAAGCACTTTTGACTTTCCTGAACAGCAGACCCAGAACTGAGAAGCAAACAAACAAACCTTTATTTGTTTCATTTGTGACCTGGCATCATAAAAGCAACCAAATCCTGACCGGCGTTGCTGATACAGGTTTCCAGGTCTCCCAGGATGGCCAACCCTTCATTATACCTGTTTTCCCCAGGTGGTTCTCCCAAGCCAGTCTCTAATCAGGATCTTTAAAGAAAGTAAGTGAATTGGGTAAACTGAGAGGACAGAGAGTTCCTGCGGTTGTGCAGGGCTTGGGGACAGTCCCAGTGAGGACAGATAAGATCAGAGGAGGAGGGGGAGAAGGGGAGGAGGAGAGGAATCACCGTTACCATCTCCTGAGTTTTCCCTTTACACGCATTTTCTCAGTGAATTCAGAAATTTCATAGACCAGTAAAATCCACCCCCCTTTCCAATGCCTGATCTGGGGAGCTGCAAAGTGTTTGAGTTGCTCGCTTTTTATTTCGCCATCGAAAGACATTGGAAAACAAATATCCATTCAATTGTTTATTTATTTGACAAATGTTTGTTGAGGGCCTGCTATGTGTCAGGCGTTATTTCAGGTCCCAAGATACAGCTGTGAACAAGGTAGACAAAAATCCCTGCCCTCGTGGGGCAAGTCAGACAATGGACCAAAACAGGAAATAAATAACAGGTTCAGTGGTGGTTAAGTGCTATGGAGGAAAACAGGACAGGGCAGGGGACAGGGCACATCGTGGGTGGGTTGTATTTTAAATAGGCAGTCACAGAAGGTGTCCTTGGGAAGGGGACATTTGAGCAAAGCTCTGAAGCTGGTGAGAGGGTGAGTCTTGTGGTGGGTGGGTGGGGTGGGTTAAGGAATCTAGGCAGAAGGAACAGCAAGAGCAGAGACCTTTAGCCCTTGGTACTACAAAACTAGAAATAGAGGAGGGATATAATTTCACAATAAAGGCCAGTCCCCCTTAAGAGAGGACAATTGTATAACCTATTATGGTATATATATATATGTATGTATGTCCATATTTATCTATATGTGGTGATATAGGTATCGATGTTCATTGCTATTATTTTTCTTGTTATGCCATGCAAGGGTAAGAACATGTCCCAAGTCAGTATCTGTCTGCAGGTTAATCTTTGGCAACTGATTATTACTGCATTTTGCAGGTGAGGAATCTGAGCC